GCATTGTTAGGATTGTTAACATTGTTAATATTGTCTAGAAAAATCACTAATTAATTAGAATTATTCATATATGTTATTAACAGATATGCTGGACATTACATACCTGTCATAGCCTTTTATATAAACAAATATAATCATGATTATGGCGCAATAAAGAATGTTATTCATATCAATATTGAATCCATCTTGATTGGAAATGGTCTAGTAAACCCTCTGGTGCAATTCGAATATTTTTCAGATATTGCCTGTGATTCATCTTATGGACCAGTATTAAATCGTTCCACATGTAATCAGTTGAGAAAAGATTGTAAAAAATGTATTAAGTTGACTAAAACATGTTATGCTTCAAAGAATATAATGGATTGCATAACTGCTGAAAAGTATTGTTATGATAAATTATTTATATCTTTTAGAATATCTGGTAAAAACATTCAAGATATAAGAAAACCATGTAATTATAGTAATGCTTTTTGCTATCCAGAGCTACAAAATATCGTTAAATATTCTAATCTTGAAGATGTTAAGATCGAATTGGGTGTTAATTCTTCATTGGTTTATCAAATTGAAAACTTTAATATTAGAACCGGCTTCATTAATTCTTGTGATTGGTAAGTAAACAAATCATTCTAATTTCATGGTTAAATATATATATTTAAGTTTTACTTTTATTTAATTTAGGATTCGTCCCTTCCATATTTACATTCCATCACTCTTGGGAAACAACATTCGAGTATTAATATATGCAGGTAATTATAATTAAGCTAATTTTGTTTAAAATTTTCTGTTTAATTATCATGAAATTATCTTTATAGGTGACGCTGCCTATGATTGTAATTGGCTTGGTAAGCACTTATTAAATTTATAGGATATTTTTAGCAATCAAGTACAAGTAATTCTCTTAAATGGCAATATATTTTATTGGTTAAATTGCTATACTGAGAGTTTTATTAAATATGCCATTTTAAGAATATAATATAAATTAGTTTTGCACTAATTTTACTATATTGAGATTTTAATTAATAATTATTTTCAATAAGGTATTGATGCATGGACAAAAGCACTTCATTGGAGTGGTACCAAAGGTTTTAATGATGCTAAAGTTTATCCTTGGATAACATCTAGCGGTAATTATTCTGGAAATATTAGAACTTTTAAAGGATTTACATTCTTAAAAATTCTCAATGCGGGACATTTGGTACCTCATGATCAACCAGTTTCAAGTTTAGATTTCTTTAATAGATGGATATTCAAGAAAGAATTGTAAATAAGAACTGAGTCTGGTCAAATGATACAATCTCTTTAGCATTTAGCATTTTTAATATTTTTTATTCGTGTTTATGAATCAATTATTTCTCAAAAATGTTCTATCAAGAAACTGCCATAATTTTAGAATCATTTTTGTAGCAATATGTCAAAGTATAAAGAATTATTGTTATTTGCCAATATTATAAATGTATTAAATATTTTTATTTTTTTTATCTAAAATAATACCGCTCCCCTGCGCGTTAATTGATTGACATGCGCGTTATTTCGAAATAAGAACTGATTTTCAGAGAAAAATATTTTTAAATAACGCGTATGCACTTTGCATAGTGAGGCCTAAAGTCCTGTCACACAGCAACTTACCAGTAGTCCTATAAAGTTACTGTATGATCTCATATGCCGGTATTAGACATTCACACTAGTTTCATTTAACACTACAATAAAATACTAAGTTTTTATGGCCCAGGTCAATGATGCAGCACTAATCAATTACAGGTTATATCGGGTGCGCGTTAATTCGGGACGCTAATTCGAGACACTATATGCTATTTGGGGTGTCCAGATTTCAAAATAACGCCCATGCCGGTTATTTCGCGCTTATACAGTAATTAAGTTTTAAGTACTTTCTGGTTTAGAATAAAAGCAAAATATTTAAGAAGCTAAAGAATTTGAAAATGAAATTAAAATTGCAAAATGGATATTTAATAAAGTAAGATTTTTAAGAATTTAAGAAAGAAATTAAGATTTCAAAGTATTATGTAAATGTAATTTTTTTAGAAAATTTAAATGCACAAGTAAATTTAAGCAAATATTCTTGATCTATATAATAATACAGTCAGACCTCTCTAAGTACACGCCCTTGGGACCACACTTTAATAACGTGCATGTAGAGAATAATAAGAAAAAGTGCATTTATGGAGGTCAAGTATATATTTGGGCCGGCACTTGAGCGTGCTTTTAGAGAGGATGTGCACTTATAGAGGGTGCACTTAGAGAGGTCTGGCTATATTAAAGTTCTTTATTAAAGTACAAAATTTAATTGATAAATACAGTATTACTAAAATAAGTATTTAATTATACTAAATAATTTAGATTTTCAATATCATATAGTGAGTAGTTAATATTTTTAAAATTCTTCATACTACCATATGTGTCTAAAAATAATATATGGTTATTGGATGCGAAGCATCCAATAATGGGAGTTATTTAAAAAATACTCCACTATTTGGCTGTAAGTCAGATAAATAAGTTATTGGTGCGTAACATCCAATAACGACATCTTTACTATGATCGGGCTGCTAGGGTGTGTAACGGCCTATTAAAATCAAACATAGGCAGGGTCACTAATGATCATCACTAATTGCGGATTTTCTATGGGTATCGATGCACACATATCAATCTTATTGAAACAAAAATTACATTTATTGAAATAAATAATTAACTAAATATAATACTTTTTTTTTTAAATTGAACCTCAAGACAGCTCTACAATGAAATAGAACTATTTTTTTAATATTTTTATAAAAAATATTTAAAACTCTAATAATTAGTGTTTTTGGTTTCGATTATTAGTATTTTTTTTACTTTATAAAAAAATAGCTCTATTTCGATGTAAAACTGGTTTGGAGCTTCAATTTAAAAAAAAAATAACGTATTATTTAATTAAATATTTATTTCAAAAAATATAATTTTATTTATAGTGATGATCATATTAATGTGAAATATCAATTATATTGGGTTATACAAACTTAATAAATTGGTTCTATTACTAATTCGGATTAATTTTTACAAACCTTTTTTAAAAAAATCGATTATTTACTATTCCAGGTGCTTTTTTTTAGATATTTATAAAAAATTGTATGCTTTTTTACTTATAAAATTTTTGAAACTGAAATTAAAACCAGATTGCCGATAAATTTTGTGTTATGAACCCAAAAAATTAATATTGTATAGCCTATTAAATTTAACTTTTTTTCTCAAACAATTCATCAAATAATTTGTCTGCAGCTACTTTAGTGTATTGTGTTGAATCATTCGAAATATTTGAAGTTGTATTCTTTAATTGATTCTGGGCAATACTTAAATCTTCTTTTGAAAAGGAAATATTGTTTATATTTGCTATTGCTAAACAAAGGTTTGATTTTTTTGTTTTTTCAGTCATATTTGGATGGCATTTAAGGTCAAATTTATTAAAAAGTCTCTCAATTTGCTGCTGATGGACAATAATATAATATATGCGATGCTTTATAAATTCATATAGTAATGGATATTTATAAACTGGTTATGTTTTTGAATTTGCAAATTTAATAAATTCATTTAAAAATATTAGATCTTCTAAAGCTTTATGTAATCCAAAATCTTGAATTTCTGTATTTAAATCAATTTCAGCCTCAAGTTCTTTAATATAGCATTCTTCTTTTGTTGTAGGATTATGATCTAATGAAATATTTAAAATAACTTTGGTATAAGCTAAAGCAAATCATGCCCATTATCTCCCAATCAACATATGTTTAAAGGTAATTGTAACTATATACCAAGCCATTTTCTAAAGATTCAAGTGCTGCTTCTACTTCTAAAGTTAATCTATCAACTAAAATTTGAAATTCTGTATTATTTAAACTATTTATTCCATTTAAAAGCTCATCTTTAAAAATTGAATAAATATTATCTATAATATTTGTTATATCTTCTATCCATTGCATAACAGTATCTGGCATTTCATAAGCTCTTCTTCCTGGAGGAAGTGTAGTTAGTTTATTATTTTTTTAGGAATTGAATCAAATCCTGCTAAAAAATTCATTATTGGTTTATATATTGTTTTTCCAAATTTTGCTAAACATTCTATTTGTATTTTAAGCAAAGGATCTTTAAGCCAACTATCTAATAATTCCCATTTTGAAATATATTGTTTAGATGAATTTTTAGAAAATTTAAGCTTTTCTATAAACTATTTAGTAAATATTTCTATTGATTCTTGTCTTTCAACTAATTGTCATGCTACACATAATTCATATAACCAGTGCTGTCTAAAAAATTTTTGAAATTTAGTATATTGTAATCCAAGAAGTTTTTTATATATATTTGATATAAAAGAAGCTTTCTTACTCATTAGATTTTCTTTTTTGCTCTCATCATATTCATTATAAAGTTGCCAAATTAAATAAAGTAAATTAAATGGATGTTTTTGAGTAAAATATCTAGTATTAATATTTAATTTACCAAATGTAGAATTTTCAAAATAAATTATTATAAGATGTGCTGAATGCATACTACATGATATTTGAAATGAATTTGATAATGCTTTATTATTAAATAATGTAATAGCACCACTTTTATAACCTGACATATAGTTAGTATTGTCAGTTATCCAAGTAAAACATTTTTTAAAATTTACTTTATAAGTATTACACATTTTAGCAACTATATTAGCAATAGTAAATTCACTACAATTTGATAAATCTTTTATTTTTAATAAAGTTGCTTGTCAATACAACTCTCTTATCCCTACTATTCTTGGTATATATCCAAGATTAACATATCAAAATATCAAAACTGTAACAAA